AAAACAAATCTAGTACCCAAATTTTCAGTATTTGAGCACATTTAGTATCCTTGACGATTTTTTTCCAAAATGCTATCGGAAAGAGTCACTTCATAGCCGCATGTCCGACAACTATTGCATAAAAAAAATACTAAAGAAATGTAAAATATCCTTCTAACATTAAGTACCAAGAAAGATATTTTAAAAACTTTAATCACTTGTCTAACTTTGTTCATCTTATTCCTTTTCTCCTTCTTTTACTGTATTTCATCTTTACCTTAGTGTCAGAAAGATATTTTATATTTTTGTGGCTTTTTTATTACAATATTTGTCGAATATATGACTATCACGCGATTATTTCAAGTAACAATTTGGGAAAAAACCACTAAAGGTACTAAATGTGCTCAAATATTGAAAGTTTGGGTACCAGATATGTTTTGTCCAAAGTTTGGAATTAAAACTGCTCATGTGTCAAAATTTGGGTACCAAAACTGCATTTTCGGGAACTAATAGACTAATTATTCTCCTGAAAGTTTTACTCATGCACGCCAAGATTCCATTATTCTGATTTTTGGCCTTCCAAAATTGTTGCCCTTTTTGTCATATCGCCTGTCATCCACAAGCCTGGAACCGCTTACTTTCGGCCTGAGAAAAAGAAAATGATAGGCCTGCACTCATGTTCACCAACCACAAACCTCATGGATTTCTTCTTTTTGCAGTCCCTTTTGTTCCTCGCACTAGATTCCTCCCCCTTTCTTCTCAACAATACCCGTCCTTTTCACACAAGATTTGAAAAACCACTAAATAAACTAGCATTTCCAGAATGACAGACATTTATCATTCTTGCTTTTATTGTGATTCTGCATCAGATCCCTGTATATGCATAAAAATCTGGTTCACTATCAGAAAGATACGAGCCAAATATTTCAAGTGTCAATGATTTATCCCTAGTGTAGTTAAGGTAGGTAAATAAAACGTTTTTTTTTTCCGCTAATAGTTCTTCATCAAATTCATCCTAAAAAGCTCGCGAGTCGGGAAGGATAGGAATTAGACTCATTACATTTGACCTACTTACTACGCGCGATGCTCCTTCTCGTAATGTGTCCTCCCAAGTTACACTAGAAGGCATCCAGCAAAGGAAGGACTTGTGGAATAGAGGGTTTAATCTTGTTGGACCTTTATGTCCTTTATACATACATACTTGTTGAATTATGCCTAATATTTAAGATACAAAATACATTTACAAATGGTGGGATCATCTCACAAAACATCGTAGCATAATTATTGGATTAATTCCCCTAGTGGCTGATTGAAGCTCGGCTGCAGTTATGCCACTTGACTAAGTGTATTTTGCTGATTATTCGGTCGTAATAGGATTTTTATCTTTATTTATTTTACATGTGCTCATTTAATGCTAATCAGTACACCTGAACTATCATTTAAATACACATATATTAGGATAGTCTAAAGTCTTGATGATGACCGGGGAGAGGAAATGGTCCTTTTTGAGGGTACTCCGGTAACGTTCGTTGGAGATGAGGTGTGGCTTGTAGCTCAAAGGATCAGAGCACACGGCTAAAAACCACGGTGTCAGAGTTCGAATCCCTCCTCCCCCACAACCGGCCCAAGGGGAAGTACCCTTCCCTTTGGGGTAGAATGGTAGGGATTGTGGACCAAAAACTATAGAACTTGGGCATCGGTTTTTTTGTCGAAATGGAATGGCTTTTCTTTTTATTTTGTGAATGGTGGAATCATTACACATAGTATGCCTTAGTCCCATCAACCTATTTGTTTGTTTTATGCTCCATAAATCTTCCTCATTCAGGCTTGGCTAAGGCAGAATAGCAGAGCAAGTACGAGTATTAGTAACAGAACAAAAAAACCTTCTTATATCTTGTGGCAATTGTTCAATGATTGCATCGCAGTACTAGTACTACTACATTTGAGAATTTTAATTGTCTACTTGTAAATAACCCTAGAGCTATGGAACAAAGGGTTATCCTGAACCTATACCGAGGTATTACTGCTGATTTTCAAATCTCGTAGAATGTAATATGATTAGATAGAATGCAAAGACAAATAACAGGTTACCTAATCATAACGGGCAAAGTGAGCCCCTTTATTCTGAATTAAAAAATTCACAATAAATCAAATCTCCCCAAATAGTATTCGAACCTACGATCAATCGGTTAACAGCCAATTAGCTCACGGTCTTCGAGTCAAAAAACAACATCGATGAAGTCGTTTAGATGCATACTTAATTAAGTTCACTCTTGATTAGTGCTAGTTGTACATCCATGAGACAAAACTGTATTTAATAGACAATATCAGATTTAGATAAAACTTTCTGTGGCACACAAGCTTCCTACTATCCTATGTTAGTGTTATTCCACGTCCTAGAAATAGAATGGGAATATCCAATTTTGCCAATAGAGTGTCCAGGTAAAATGTATATGTTTTCCTGGCGTCACGGTCAACATAAAGCATTAGAGTATCAGTAGCAGGCTTTATCTTGAAAAATCCCCACACCGGACAACGTAGCTTTGCAGAAATGCTATGCCAAAATACTACAGCATATCACCTGACGTATTTCCTGTGGAATGAACCCCCCCTGCCCCTTTTTCTTCCCCTCGAAAAAAGGCTTATATTCTGGTGCCCTCTCCCTTTCTGATTTCATCAAACACTTTTCCAGCCTCATCAACTGAGCCCTCCTTTATATCCGGTACAGAAAACTATGTACCTCCCATCTACTTCTGCAGACTGCTTGGCTGTGTGTGTCTCTCTCTCTGTTACTGCAATTTCTGTTATCAATGGAGGACAATAGTAATTATGCAGTTGTAGTTAATCTCTCCTATTCATTAGTTGCTGCTTCTTGTGTGTGTGTGTGTGAAATCCTTATCATACATTTCAATGCTCTGGCAATGTTTTTGGAGAAATCTGTGTACATTAATTCATACCTCGCACTCTTACACACAGATTTGCATGAAATATCCAATTTACAGGATGTACATCCAAACTAACAATCAAAATACTAGCACACTCTCCTCTCCAATCTGTCACGACCAGGAGTCGAACTCCCAACCTTGTTAATGAGGACAAATAGAACATTTCCTAATCAATAAGGAGAATTTCAAGCACATACTAAACTAGATTGTACCATCACTTCCAAAAATTTCAAACGAAGATTACAAAGTTCAGAATTTTAGTCCGGACGGGGATCCAAACAATTTTTTTTATTAAATTGGTAAAAAAGGAAAGAAAAAAAAAAAGAGCAAAGAGTAAAGAAAGGTTATCCCAATTCAAAGTTTGTAGAGAGTACAGATGCACTTTTTCAACTAGTTCTTATAAATCATCTACCAATGAGAATTTGCTGCTGGCAGCAAGTAAATATATGTATTAGGAAGTGTTTATTTATTTATTTTTTTAAAGGAAGACTCTGAGCCTTCATAGTGAAAGGGTTTAAGAATCGAGCCAATAATTTCAAAGTTACTTTATAAAAGTTCCTACCAGTTAAGTTGGATTTTGTAGGTAAAAGTATTACTTCAACTTCATAAAAAATATCTATTATGCGGCTAGAATTAAAACTCATAATAACCCATCTTATACTTTTTTTTTTTAATATTTTAGAAGAAAAACACAAATTATCAAGAAATGTTTCTGGTAATTGCACCATCTCCAAGTTCGTAGAACCTTCAACTTCATAAAAAAAAAAAAAAATCTGTTACGGGGCAAGAATTTATATTCATAATTACCGATCTTATACTTTTAGTAATTTGTCTTTTAGAAGGCACCTGCACGTCCCTGTAGAACCAATAGTGATAGCAATCTGTTTTTATACCCGAAAATCAAGTTTATAATGCTATGAGGTGCTGGTAAACCAAACCTTTATGTGTAAATCAACTGATTGCAACAGCTGAACAAATTAAATTGAGCCACCCCAGTCCCTGATCCCCTATCCTCATCAATCCAGCTCCCGACTTTGTGAGGACAAATAGAATATTTCCTAATCAATAAGATAAATTTCAAGTACATACTAAACTAGATTGTACCGTCACTTCCAAAAATTTCAAAAGAAGATTACAAAGTTCAAAATTTTAACCTGGATGCGGATCCAAACAAACAAATAAATAAATATACACACACATACACATATGTAAAGTTTTGGTTAAAACAAAAAAAGCAAGGAGTAAAAAAAATTATTCCTTTCCAAGGTTCGTAGAAGGCACGATCGCTGTTTTCAACTAATTCCTACAAATTATGAGAATTTGTCGTTGGCAAAAAGTGCTGCTGTTTTTTTTTTTTTCTACCGAAGGGAATATTCTAAACCTAAGAAAGGCAGAAGGAAAACGAAGGATTTAACAGTCAAACTAATAACTTCAAAGTCGCTTAACAAATGTTCCTATCAGTTAAGTTGAGTTTTTGGGGGGGGGGGGGGAAGTATTATCTTAAACTTCATTTAAAAAACAAAAATCTACTCTGGTGCTAGAATTTAAATTTAAATTTTAGTAATTTATATTTTAGAAGAAAAACACAAAATGTTTCGGGTTATTGCACCTGTGCACGTCCCTGTAGAACCGATAGCGACAGCATTCTGTTTTTACACACGAAAATCAAGTTTTTTTTTTTTTAAAAAAAAATAATGCTATTAAATTTGTGTAAATCATCCGAGTGCTACTGCTGAAAAAATTCACTTGTCTCTGATCCCCTATCCTCATTGATCCACAGATGGCCAGGTGCTTTTCTGGGTTGTTTCCTCTCTTTCTTACTTCAGAAAGTGAGAGCAAAAGGAAGACGAAACCACTACTTTACTTTGGCGGGGTGTCGAAGATGAACATAGAAACGTCGCTGAATAGGAAATGTTTTCGTCAGCGCATAGCCAAAGGGCCTTTTATGCAAAAAGGAAAAACCTCTGCTGGCTATGGAGGACTAGGGCCACGTATCATATGTGCTGTGGGGTTGTCAATTTGACGTGGCAAGCATTGGGGCTTCAAAGCAAATAAATAGCCCTCTCAATCCTCTCATTTCATCCAATTCTTTCCCCCTTTTTGGCCCTCTCGATTTCTGCATATTTCATTCAATTATTCAACTCACTTCACACCTCCCCTCCCATACTTTTGCTTCGCTTTTTCTTTCCTGCCACTTTCTCTTCCACATATATATATCATTGCTTTTCATGAAGTGAGAGTTGTAAAGTTTAGAACAACCAAGCAACACATTTACAGAATGCAAGTGTTTGGCCAAGCAGAAAATTCAAACACTGAAGAACCCTCCATTAATTCCCCTCATCACTTGCCTCCAATAATGTCTTCTTCTTTCCCTATAACCCTCAAGGTAACACTTTCTCCGTACAACCACTAATCTATGTATGTCGACTGTAGAGTATTGATGCATTTATGAGTTAAACAAAGCTACGTAGTAATTCTCATGTTACGAAATTCTATTTTTATGCATGTAACATGCATTTATATTTACTCATTAAAAAAAAATTATTTATGCTGACTGTCAGTATAAAAAATTTAATACTATATATTATTATACATGCCACCAAGAAGAGAAAATAAAATTAGGTGGATATGGGAAAATTGACAGTTCGGTTTGGGTGATGTGCAGTTCATGGAGGTATGCTATAGAGTAAAGCTGAAGAGCAAAAATTCAGGAGGGGGAAGCTTGAGAAAGATGCTCACGAGCAACGGGCCCACATCTTCTGATGTTGAGAATCCAACGGCCGTGATTGAAGAACGCACAATCTTGAGCGGCATCACAGGAATGGTTTCTCCAGGTGAAATCCTAGCCATTCTTGGTCCATCAGGCAGTGGGAAATCAACGCTGTTGAATGCATTAGCCGGAAGACTCCAACATAGCCACGGCCTCACCGGAACAGTCCTTGCCAACAACCGGAAACTGAGCAAACCGGTTCTTAGAAGGACGGGGTTCGTAGCTCAGGATGATGTTCTTTACCCGCACTTAACCGTGCGGGAAACCCTAGTTTTCTGCTCACTGCTGAGGCTACCGAACTCGCTGACGAAGAAAGAAAAGATCTCCATAGCTGACTCAGTCATGAGCGAGTTGGGCTTGGTGAAGTGCGAGAATACAATCATCGGAAACAGCTTCATACGAGGGATTTCCGGCGGAGAAAGAAAAAGAGTCAGCATAGCTCATGAAATGCTGATAAACCCTAGTTTGTTAATTCTCGATGAGCCCACATCAGGGTTGGATTCGACGGCGGCGTTTCGGTTGGTTTCGACGCTGGGATCGTTGGCTCGGAAGGGAAAAACCATTGTCACCTCGGTTCACCAGCCATCAAGCCGGGTTTATCAGATGTTCGACTCGGTTTTGGTGTTGTCGGAAGGGAGGAGTGTATATTTTGGGAAAGGCAATGACGCAATGAACTATTTTGAGTCTGTTGGATTTGCTCCATCTTTTCCCATGAATCCGGCGGATTTCCTGCTTGATCTCGCTAACGGTACGTGCAACCTTTTTGCCCTTATTGAAAGACTGCATGCTTATTGCTTGTGTAGCTTTTACTAATTTTGTCTTGAAATTTTATGGCCCAACCCTACTTCCAAGGTTACTTGATTTTTTTTTTTTGTCTATTTTCTCCATCCTACTAACCTTGTTGGAACTGAAATTATTTGTTAGAAGCATGCTTTTGAAGTTATTTCATTTTACTTACTTTTTTGTACAAAATTTAAGTTGCTTTTATGAGCTCTCTTTTAAAAAATTTTTTTTTTGAATGAAGTAGAGAAACAAAAAGATATTGAAATGGAAAAACTAATTAAAGGGGTCATAGATGATAACAACGTGAGGTGGACGAAGAACAACTTTTACATTTAGCTGGAATTATGAGACTCAATTTGTCATATAGTCGATGTATTTCGTCTGTCATGATAGATATTTGTGTAATACTACCTTTTGGAAGTTGAATTGACTAGGTTGACCTGTTGTTGTTCAGAAGAGTAGGAGTTGTCAAATTATAGTCTTGCGTGGTTTTTGTGAAGTAAATAGTATTAATGTTACTTGCTATAGAGAAAAGTCAGGCTTACAAAGTATTAGGATGTCCAATAACAATAAGCCCTCTAGTCTTATCCTATGCTACAGTGTAGAAAATGAACTGACATTAATTTGTACAGCGGCTTTTGTCACATGGTATCCGACACTAGAAATGAAATGACATTATTAATTTGTACAGCTGTTTGTTGCTGCTATTCATCAATCTTCACAATCAATTCAATCCCCATCTAAGACGAGCTTTTGTGCTTTTATCGCTCGCAAAGAAGTCTTGAATGGTTGTGGTATCAATTTTCTAACCCCTTAATGTTGTTTTGGTCCAATTCTTTTGGTACTTTGATCTTGATTCTAATAGGACAACACTCATGATGACAATAACTCATCAGACGCGGACCACCTTGATGCCTGTACATTTTTGATGCCCTATAGCTGTTATAGCTGGTACAAATTAGATGGTTGTTTACCCTTGTACCTGTGGGTTCGGCGCTTCCCCCTTTATATTTCTGTCCACTTCGGTTCAGTTGTCGAAATTGATACAATTTCGATATAAATTAATATATTTTTAATATAATCGTGAGTTTTACGCAAGCTCAATTTTATACTAAAATTATACTCATTTATTGTGTATCTAGGGCGGCTTCAAGCTGAGGAGAGCGAATAGTTTTTTAGGTGGAGTTGAGAGTCTAGTAGAAAATATGAAAGCTAGTAGAAAACTTAGTGTAGATGCCTAAGGCATTATTTTGGACGAGGAAAGAAACTTTCCTCAGTGTCTTTGAATACTTAATGTACAGTTCGCTCGAGCCGTTACTCGCAAATATAAATTCTCCGCTATAATGAAATTATTCTATCGTTCCGACAAATAAAAAATAAAAAGAGAATTTAGTAATTATGGACGGTGGTTTAGGATTCAGATCAGGTTTCAGTTCTATCTCGATTTGGACCATTAACTTCAAATTGCTGCCTGATTTTTTATTTTTGTCGGTATCGGCATTAATTGGGGCCAAGTCAACTCAGTCCCGTATGAGCTCGGCACTTGCTACTTTTCAACAATTATCAAGAAACTTGTCCCGCATAGGTGGTGGTGCAATAATTTCATTGTACGCAACTTGGTAAATATCATTTGGGGGGGGGGGGGGGCGTGGAGATATTGAGAAATTAATTATCTAAAAATAAAAAAGAAGGCCTCGACATTGGCTTAGTGCATAAAGTTCTCCCAATTTCTAATTGATGCAAGTGACGTGTAAATTTCTACATAGCCGAATTTTGTACCCGTGAGTAATGACTACATGGTTGGTGGTAAAGATGGTGGAAGCAATGTACTGGTGGTGGTGGAGAAAGCTGAATTGAATAATACTGCTGAGATGTAAAGGTACTGGCTTTTTTGGTATTGGATAAAAGTAATAATAGTAGAAGAAATGTAGAGGCTTCGGAATCATGCGTGAACTCTTTGCAGCCCATGTGTCCTTGAGGCTTGAGCTGGTCGGGCTTTCCTTTATCCCTTTTTCCTCTCTGACCAACTTTAGTAATCCAAGTTTATTTTAATTTTAGTTTTGATTATTAATTTTTATACTTTTTGGTTTTATAGTTTCTGAACAAAATGTTTTCAGCTTGACGATCTTATAGGTTCTTTTTGGTAAATCAGGAGAATCTGTACTTCTACAAATGCAACGAAGCAAGAGTTGATTTAAGGCTAAATTGAAAGTGGTGACAAATATTTTAAATTCTTTTCGTCTCATTTTTATAGTCTTGTAGGCATGTTCTTTGGAAAAATTTGTCACATGGATCTGATCAATTGTACACTTCAGATCAATCAGTCTACTTAAGGTGATTGGTATAAATGATTTTAAGTTTGAGTACTCGAGAAAAGATGTGAAAAAATTTGAGCAGGTAAAGTTTTGGCAGTGAAATCATAAATATAAGTCTAGGTCATGTAAGAAAGTGGGATACAAATCAAGCTATAGAAAAGCTAGGGCTCTATAAGCACAAATATAAATTGATTAGTTGGAGACAGTTTAAATGTTCTTGTTATGAGTTAGGACACTGGTGGCTCGTGCAGATTTGTTGAATAGAGGTACATTTGTCATAGTAAGGTAAGGATATCACATCAAATTTGGTCAGGCGAGGCAATATTAGCAATAGATTCATGTCCTTGTTTTAACATTAAATATTGTGATAAGATACATGCATGTTTGTGATACATTCGTTTTCCTTACGCAAAAACTTACTTTATTGAGTGGCCATGGGAGGCGCAAAGCAATGTGTGGTAAACCGATTCCATTTGCTTTAATATATAAAGAGAAAATTATCAGCCAGAAACACAAGATCTTAGGATCCTTTTACGTTGAAAATTTGGATTCAATATTTATAACCCACACTACAAATCAGGTGAAGGACCTGATACTAGTTTTTAGCGTGGGGATCAATTGATGGAAACTGGGGCCTAACATCCTCTCAAATTAGTATTTTGATAGCAAAATCCGGCATCAGCAGAGGATGAATACCTTTCTATGGGGACCATATGTTTCCATCCTTAACCGTATAAAAATGAGAATCAATTAGAAACGGAAAATTATTTGTATTAAGATCTTTCTAAAAGGTGCCCATTGAGCACATATTAATATACTTAAAATTTACCTAACTTACTATATATATATATATATACACACACACTACAATTATTACCCTCCATTGTATTTATTTACCTTTTTTTAATTAATCTTATATTTCTAAAAATATGACACTTGAAATATATCTCAACGAGTGTCCAATGGGTACCTGTTAGATAAACCCTTATATTAATACCAATAGAAGACAATAAGAAAATGGATATGTAAATCACATATTCATAGAATTCAACTTTTCTCTTTTTAACTTCTTTTGGTGCTTGAACTTATATTTGACCAATATTTTACTTTGCTATTTTCACTTATTTTTTCAAAGCTTTTGATATTATGACGAAACTACTTTTATCATGACCTAATTCGACACCAAATTCTGATTGATTCAGTTTGCTCAATCTTTCTTAATAATAATTGCTTCTTGTAAGTAATTTTTTCTCTAATCAAAGCTTTCTAACCAAGTTCACATTGATGGGGATTTTTTCGATTTTGGTAGTACCAAAAAAAAAAAAAAAAAAAGATTTTGGTTGGCAAGATAAGTGCTTAACGAACATTATTATGATGGTGATGCAACAGAGGATTATTTCATCAATTGACTATGACAATTGAGAAATGAATAAAGCCAAAGATATTGAGGCAAACATCATATTAATCACTTTTTGTCGAAGGAATGGGACAATGATATGTTATGGTTCACCTAGAGAGAAGGACCTTCAAAGACATTAACTTTTGCATCCTGCACTGGGCGTGGCCGCCCCTTCTCTTCTCCATAATGTGTAATTTACTTTTCCATGTGCAGACATGAGTAGAGAGTGGTACAGTGGGTTTCACGAAAAATGTTTTCTAATGTTGGTTTTCTGTTTTGAAGCAATTCTAATGTTAGTTTAAAAAATTGGAGATATCGTAGATTGACCTTTGAACTACTAGGTTCTTGCCCTAGATGATTTAGAGTCTCTTAGAACCATTTTCAATTCAAAAGTCAATGTGGGACTCTATTTCTTTAATTTTTGAGAAGAGAGGTGGGCTGGGATATCTAGAATATTGTCAGCTTGAGAATTAAATGATGTACAACTGACAATAGCACTTTTTTTTGAGATATTATGTGTGTAATTTAAAAAAATATAAAAAAGTGATTGATAAACGTGTTTGATATTAAGGAGTAAAAGTTTATTTAAATAATTAAAGACTTGTTTCTCTGAGTATTATTTTCATTGAGATAACACTGGTTTTCTTTCTGCTTCGAGTGACTATTATTAACCGTAATACTAAAATTTCAGCCTTCCTTACCAACAGATAATTCAGGTTTGGTGCAATAGTGTTGTAGGGTTTATTATTAGGTAGATAAATGCATGAAATCATGGATTGTTTTTGTTTTGGAATCCTAAAGAAAAAGGCTCTCCATAACTCTATTTAAATTGGTGGGACATGTTAATGGGACAAAAATATTATTTGAAAAATAATTATACTGTTGTTAGTGGAGAGAATTTGGATTTCTTTAAGTACAATTTTTTTTTTTATACTTAATACATCAGAGGTCCTGCTTATGAAATAATTGTGTGTTAATCATGCTTTTGCCTCTTGATTCATCATTGGACAAACTAATTTTTAAAAGGAAACAATAGAAGCTGACAACATTGCTTGCGTATCACAGCATCAATCTCTCATTACATTTGACAAAGTTGCTGGGTAAGGCAGACCACTTACCAAATTTAATGTCAAAATTTGTCGCCCTCTCAAATCTCAAGCCTCTTAATATAATATTGATGTAGAATATCTTCTGTCATACGTATGGATATTCAATTGGGAATTGGTTTCTTAGTGCATCGACACAGTAAAATATACGTTTTGACTTGTGAGTTGACAAATTTTTTTTTTTACAAAAATATACCTTAAAATAGCAGTTTTCGTATGATTGAAAATTGCTAAATATGGCATAGGTAATTATCTAGGAATGGCTAGTGGTTTGAGGTATGTGTCCTACCTTTTTCCTCATTACTTGTGGCAAAGTGTTCTTGAATATGTTGGAAAAGTAACTATAGTGAGAAGTCAAGACTTGTGGCTGGCATTTGTTACTACTTTTTAATTAAGTTGGAGTATTTGGTATCTATAGTTGGATAGGCTCATTCTTTTAAGTTAACATAAGGATGAGAACTAAAGCATCATTTGGTCATATTTGCCAACTAATTTATTTTATTTGATTGGTAAAGTGTTCGTTATTCTCCCATTAAAGGCCATAATTATATTCATCTTTTTAATGACTATTTAAGAGTCTTTAGCTTTACAAATTTTTTTGGTTCTTTGCTCTTTTTTAGTCCTAACATGAAATAGCAATGATTTTGTAATTTCTTTGTTACAAGTGGGACGTTAAACGGTCAAAATTTTCAGGCCATGATCGTATAGTGTTATGCATGGTGGACCATTATTTCTTCCTATTATCTTCATTTACCGCTGTACTTGAGTACAATTGCAGATAGGGATATCTATATCCATCCTTAGTACCGACTTAGAAATTGACCCTAACCATTTTGAGAATGAGTGGCCAGCAAATTAGGGTGTAGAATGGGTTGACAAAGGGAGATGGTGCCCATCGCTCATCATGCTTTCTTATGTGGTCGTAGCAGTTGAGAAAGCATTTGAATTGATTCCCGAAAGGTATCCCCTTGCACTTCAGTTAGCAGAACACCTGTCACAATTTGATCTGTAGATCACAAGAATTTGTCCCGACAAAGTGTGTTCCATAATTTTCTATCCTTTCTACATAGAACCTTTATGTCACTTTTTAACATCAAATTTGAGACCAACACGTGTTAGCGTCCTTAGCAAATCAGTACGCATTAAGCCCACCGATCAAACTTTTTCCAATTGAATATAGCGTGTAGAACTAAGTGGAAGGATGGTGGCCCTATCCATCAGCAGCATTATCTTTTTAGTGGACTGCCACCTTACCACACCAACATAGGCGAGGGTGAGGGTCATCTTGCTCCTACTGTTTGCCTCTACTGATTGGTTCATAGTAGTGGTACATTCTATAGTCACTAATTAATAGTTGATTTGTATCCCTTTCAAGCATGTTTAGTATAGAGAGGTATTTAGATATTATTGAATAGTGGTAAAAACTATGGCGCTTATATCTTCAAGTCCTTGTCTAATTTGAAATCTTACCATCTTTTAGAAGGTTAGGAGGAAAAATCTTGCTTTTTGAAAGTTTTCTTCCTTGCATAACTTTATTGTCGGTTTTACAAAGATGGTGTACAACATGTATTCATAAACATTCTTTCTAGGAGTCGATAATGGTACAAGGGCTTTGTGCCATGTAAAGGGTTTTAAGATTGTGAAAAGTATAATATCACAAAGTTGAATTTTGGATATGGATCGAGGAAATTTTCAAGTATTAGATTTTATCAGTCGTTCAATTATTTAAGTGGATTTGCAAGGATGCAATTCTTTGAAGGGGTAATTAAGTTTGGGTAGCAAATTGTTGCTCAGATGTTCTTAATATTATTTTTGAACACATTCCGACAAATGAAAGAGAGCGAAGTTTTAACCAAAGAGAGAAGAATAGAATCAACAATGCTAATCAAAAATTTTCTTACAAGCAATGCTGTTAACCTCTTTTATCCTTATTGCTTCAGATTTTTTTTTTTTTAAATAATTGAAGTTTGATTCGCATTTTTAATTTAATGTTTAACAGTCTGCAATGTCCTTTTAGCAGACTGATTGCTTCTTATCTATTAAAAAAAAAAAACAAGAAGAATAACATGCACCTAAGTAATTCTGGGCTAACAAATAAGGCTATAAGTAGTTAAATGTTTCCCATGTTAGTGTGATTTTAATTTCTAGCAGTGGTGTTAACTTTATCTTTAGGCAGCTTTGACGCATATACTTGTCGAATACCGTTCTATCTCTCATTATGATAGGATATTTTAATGGTACATTCAATCAGTGTATTCCAAATTTTTTGGAGGATAATTACCTCCATCAGCATGTCTTAAGGATCTGAAAGTTCTTGTAAATTACTCAGGTTTTTTATGTTACGAGTTGGTTAATATGAAAGAAATCCACATAGCAACTATATATATATATATGTGTGTGTGTGTGTGTTAACACACACATTAGTATCCTTGATTTTAAGGACCAATATTATGTGTTCACCATGATTTCAATTTGAGATGCTTTTTCTTCTTGTGTGTCTTCAACAAATGATTTCCTGAGTCCGGCCCTTTCTTGGAATATGCGCAGGTGTATGTCATCTTGGAAACAATGACAAAGAAAGGCCTAGTGTGAAGCAAACTCTTGTATCTTCCTACAACAGATTGCTAGCTCCAAATGTAAAAGCTGCATGTCTTGAAACATCCACAAGTACAGGTCCAAGAGAGATGATGGTACGAATTTGTAGCCCTAAAGATCAGTTTAGAAGCAGCTGGACGAGTAATGTTTCCACTTGGTTCAATCAGTTCAGCATTCTCCTAGAAAGAAGCCTCAAGGAGAGGAGGCATGAAACCTTCAACTCCTTGAGAGTCTTTCAAGTAATTGCAGCCTCATTGTTAGCTGGATTCATGTGGTGGCATTCTGATTTTCGGAATATTCAGGACCGCCTTGGCCTTCTCTTCTTCATTGCAATCTTCTGGGGAGTTCTCCCATCTTTCAATGCCACATTTGTTTTCCCTCAGGAACGCGCCATCTTTATGAAGGAAAGAGCTTCGGGGATGTATACATTGTCTTCCTATTTCATGTCGCGGATCGTAGGAGACATGCCTATGGAGCTCATTCTCCCCGCTATATTTGTCACAATAACCTATTGGATGGCAGGGCTGAAACCTGAACTCGCGGCCTTTATCTTAACGCTGATGGTTGCGCTTGGATACGTGCTTGTGTCTCAAGGTCTCGGCCTAGCTCTTGGTGCACTGATCATGGATGCAAAACAGGCTTCAACTGTGGTAACTGTCACAATGCTGGCATTTGTTCTAACAGGAGGATTTTACGTGCATAAAGTACCTTCATGCATGGCTTGGATTAAGTACATTTCTTCCACATTTTATGCCTATAGACTTCTAATAAATATCCAATATGGGGAAGGAAAGGAAATTTCCTCATTGATGGGCTGCTTACAACATGGAAGTGATAGAGCCATCTGCAATTTTATTGATGAAGACATTGGGGGACAAATTCACCCGCTGACAAGTTCTGCAATTTTGCTGCTAATGTTTTTGGGCTATAGGTTGGTAGCTTATCTTGCACTTAGGTTTATGAGATCCTAAAAAACAAAAGGAACTTTGATTCAGATTTCAAATCCTCAATCTTGACATATTAGATTTGCTGAGCTGCTTCTGGAAAGCTGGCTAGCAGCTCCTTCAGGCTTCAGATGTTGCCATCAAATATATATATATAGGCCAAATGGGGATATCTTTTAGAGGCTGGTCATTGAGGTATTCAAGAGATTGAAGGTGGCAAACAATTGTAAAGAATCTTGTTACAGCAAGCTATAAAGTCCATTCCTTAACAAAATCGATTGGCAATAAATTGATGATTTTACAGTTCACTTTGAAATTCAGTTCAGTTCATGTCATTAGTCTTCAACATCATCTCGACATTTCGAGAGTACTGTAAACATTTTATAGGTTTATTGAAGGTCTCCTGCACCAAATTTTGTTCTACATGAATTTGAACGTGCCTTCATATCTTGTTTATTTATTTGTTTTGACAACTTTGTTGTTGAGATTCTCTTCTCCTTTTTCTTTATTTCTTTTTTTCCCTTGTGTCTATTTTTTTTTCAGATTTTATTTTATATTTTTAATTTATATTTTTTTTTTCTTTCTAGTGATCTTGAAATTGACTTTAGTAAAAGTTTCACTTTGTAGACACCAAAGTTTTGCAGTATGACCTTATTTTCCCAAAATTTTCTCTTATCGTTGTTCTATTTATATTTTACTATTTATTTTTATTATCCTTATTTGTTTTATCTGATGTTCATTTTTGATCTTGTAGATTTCCTTTATCAAGAATTGGAAAAAAGAAAAGAAAGAAAACAAAAGAAGAATGAAAAGTAAAGAGAAAACAATAAAAAAGAATAGAATAAGAAACCCAAAACCAAACGACCAGAAAACAATTTGTCCACAAAAAAAAAAAAAAAAAAAAAGAAGAAGAAAGAGAGTTCCAAGAGAGAAAATGAAGTCCAACAATAGGGCCCAATCCAGCCCAATTTCACTAAAAGAAAAAGGAGAAAAAACTTGCTAAAGGCTCATGGTATTTACCAAAATAATCCAATGTTTATTGGAAATTTTGAAACTAGTTCAAACTTTTGAATTCTTGTTAAAGTAGAGATTTTGTCATTTGAAATAGCAACTTTAAAGTCATTATTTCATGTAATGACTTAATAGATGCCATTTAAAAATGCAACTTTAGGAGATTTAAAACCAGTCAACTAGAGAGAAATGAAAACAAAAAACAAACAACCTAAAGTTATCCTCTCAAATGGTGACTTCAAAATTGCCATATGAAATAGTGATTTTGATACTGCCTTTTCAAAGAGTGAAATCTCTACTTTGTGAAGGATTAAAAATTTTGGATGACTTTTAGAATTCTCAATAAATATTAGATCATTTATGTGAATAAGCAGGGGTTTCCTCCCTTCACCTTCTCTAGGGTTTCTTACACAAATAGATATTTCGCTACTTGAAGTAGTGAATTCCAACAAAATCACACAAGTACCAACTTTGTCGGATAGCGGGGGCAAAAAAACAACAAACAAAAGTCGGAATATGGTGTAGTTCAAAGTTGTGACTCAAAATAGTGAGTTCAAAGTCGTGGCAGGCTATGACTTTTAGTTTGTGCTTGGATTTGCAATATGCAACAAACGTAAAACAACACCATATGTGAGTTAAAAACTAGCTGGTTCTCCTCTACTTAGGGCACAAATAACTGACAATTTAGAAATTAACGAATTGAACTTAGGCACAACCCACAAGCGAAAAATCTATGGATCCTTGATTGGAAGAAATAAAAAAAGAGGTAATTGGATTTATAGGTTTTTACCATGGAGATGAGATAAGGTTGGAGAATGGACAAAAAAAATAGTGTTGCCATTTGGAAACATGACTTTGACTTGGGAGTTGTAACTAAACTTTCGATGTTTTTTAACATTAAAAAAAACTTTCAATTTTTTTTTTTTATATTTTTGTGAAAACTTGGTACTCGTGTGGATTGTTGGAAGTCGCTAGTTCAAGTAGTGAAAACTCTAATTTGGAAGTGTTCAAGAAATTGGACAATGTTGGGAAATTTGAATAAAATTTGGATTGTTTATGCAAAACAAGTCCCTAATACAACTATTGTCAATTCCATCTCACCTCCAATTGTCATCACTTAAATAATATTACCAGCCCATTCATCAAATTATGACTCTATTTTCTTCACACCTATTCATTACTTTAAAAATTGAACTGGATCGAACGGTTTAATAAGTCGAATCACGAAACAACCATGGCACCAGTCCATTCTCTAATAAGGCCGAAAAGTTAATTGTGCAGGTCAAAATCGATAAAAATTTGTTGAACCAGTTTCCACTAAACTTTTCCTTTTTTTTTTTTTTAAATTTCAATGTTATCCAAATTAATTAATATTAAAATAGGTTAAAAAAACTAAATATATTTTCGAACCTAGGTTTAAATTGGTTGAATCGTGAACTGAAAGCTCATCTAGTTCACACCGGTTCAAATTTAAGAACATTGAATCCAATTTTCTCCTTACTCACTTCAGTCTCTATTCCTCCATAATCATTCTCCCAACCCTCTGTCCACCAACATAAAAAACTACAGAATCACCATTTTTATCCTTCACATGCAAATTCAGCCACTCAGCTTTTACACCACACCAGCACAAACTCACATTAAACTTATAATGATCACAATAACTCACACTTAATCTCAAGGAAACTAGCACATATGCCAAACACGCATGCTGACATGCACAATACACACAGTAGACAAAAAAACATAAGCAAAAAGGCCAACATGGTTACAACACTAAGAGCTCTCACCATCACTAAGTGCTTGAAGGCAACATGGTTACAACACCTTTTTTCTTTTCACCTCTCCCCCTCCCCTAATTCATCCCTACCCCCAAATTTGGTAGTTAAATTTGAACCCTAGTATGGCAGATAGGGCATGAAGCCCTTGTCCAATAGCCCTAGAGGCTGTCGGATCTAGTTACAACACCTCACAAAGCTAAGAGACAAAATTTATTGCAATTTTTAGTACTCAATCTTGACATATTTAGTTTTTTAGGGTTTAATTTCTCTTAGGAAGTTTTCTTTTTTCTTTTTGTATAGGAATTAAATTTTTTTTGTTAGGGTTTATTTTCTTTTGGGAAGCTTAGTAGTTTTTATTCACTTAGTGTAGTGGCCATGTTATTTCCTAATTGTATGGATTTGAATTTTGGTTAAGTTAATCCCTATTGTTATTTAGGTTTTGGCCAAATAGTATAAGTAGATTGGCATTTTGCAAGTTGCATATGAGGGGTAATTGTGATAAGTGACTATTTTGTGTGGTATTTGGATGATATTTTATGGCATTTTTAGCCACTTTTACAATATTATAAGAAGAAAAAGATCCATTTTCGCTAGAATTGGTTTCAAGTGCTATTTAATGCTTAATTGAAATTTTGTCTCTTTTACTTGTACAATTTTGATATTTTTGTAGAATTTGAAGAATAAGTTTGAACTTGGATGTAAGACGAGATCATGATACATTTACTGAAGTCTAAAAGCTCGTGAAATTGGCGAGTTTCAAAGGATACAATTGAGTGCAAGATGAACAAGATGAAGGAAAATTAGTTGAGCAAGAATTGAGATGAACCAATCGGGGTCCAGATTTATGTCCGGATTCAAGGTTGGATAGAGGGCCGTAGCTGGACATTGAAGCAATTCAATTTCTGAAGAATCTGGCCATGAACAGTAACACCAAGTCAGGGCCAGATTGTGGTTTGATAGTGCAGCTGCGACTTGCTCAACTTGCACAATTTGCTCAATAATTGAGGGATGAAATTGCGGGCTTTTGGGCTATAAAGTTGAAGCTCTAGAGCCGTCTTTTGGACCATTTCGTCTCTATATAAACACCATTTGAGCAAGAATCAAAAGAGCGCATGGAGAGGAGAGAGGAAGAATAATGCTAAAAAATGTAGAACTTCACTAGTTTCTTAGTTCTTTAGTTTAGGTTAGTGTAGGATAGCTTAGGCATATGTAGTTCATCTTTTCTTGTGTAGAGCCAAACAAGCATGAAGTTGGAGGACGAAGAAGGCAAGGAAAGAGCTTGTGTGACAAGGATTTTTCTTCCTTCTCAACTCTTTATCTTTTGTAATTGATTCTAAGTTTCTTTAACATACAAGTTTGAATTTTATGTTCATTATATGTTTCCAAAGTTTCATACCTTGAGTATGGATGAACTTCTTATGATTTGTTTGTGATGTTTACTTAGTTATCTGATGCTATTATTTTGAGCAAATTATTTAGCACTTTGTGTTATATTCATGATTAACTGGCTATTAATTGTAATAATTTCAAGGTGTTAAGTTTGTATGAGAATTGAAATTTAATACTAGTTTAAGAAAGTGTTAAATCTAGAGAGTACAGTCATAAACGTAGAGATACATCTTTGTAGTTTTGGTAGTTTGTTCCATGTAATTTTATAGAAGTAAATGAACTTGTAGTTAATTTCATAACCACGAAAGTAGGTATGGATTAGGTATAGGTATGGTCAACACAATAGCAAAAGCAAGTATCATATATATAAGGAAATTATACCACAACTTAACCAAGGTAATAACACTCAATTAACCAGTAATTTTACTTACTAGAGCAGTTAGAAATTTCATAGCTCTAGGAGCCTTTTATTGTTATTTTACTTCATTTTACTATATGTTTGTAGTGTATATTTAATTTTACGCATTTGAGATCATTTAAATAATAAATAAAGGAGTTTAAAAACCACAGGTAATTGATCACTCTTCTATAGGGGATTGGCTCCTAATATCCCCTATATTTGATAAACTATATGTACACTTGCAAAAAATGAGGTATTTAGGTTTATAAATTTGAACCAAAAGATAAAGCCTTGTCAAAATGTAAGACTTGTCTCTTTTAAGGGTATGACCCATATGATTGATTGATACACTAATTAATTGATTGATATTTTGTCAATGATTGATTAGTATCTTCTATCAATCATGATTGATTCTATTAATTGATGCTTTAAACAGTTAATAATCAATCAAATCAATAAATTAGTTAGAGATATTATTCTTAGTTATGATTTATGGTAACATTTTCTTTATGGATGGAAAGCCTAGAGATTTGCTATTTACCAATAAGGATCCCCAATCTAACCTATAAATAGTATGTGATAATCCATCATGCGTTGTTTTTCCAATTAAGCATAGAGGTTCTCTTACTTTAAATATAAATTCTTTCTCTACTTATATTTTGCCATTTGCAGACACCAAAATTTGTATTTATTATTTTTATTCTTATTTCATTTTATTTATCTATTTATTCATTT